ACAGAACGAACCAACCACAAAATGGACCCAGCAGATGATTCATGGGAGGTAGAATTACAGCATTTAACCTTCTATCTGGCTTGCTGCTTCGATTGGTGGAAGGGAGCGTCCAGTGTTCGGCAGAAGAGGGCCGCTCTGGTAGAGGCGCTCCGGTTGGCAGCAGAGAAGCCATGTTTTGTTGAGTTTTTACCTGACTGGATTTTGGACTTCCTTCAAGCATGTGATTCCAGGCATGCTAGCTCCCTGTCTCCCAATTCCCAACCTGGCACCATACGCCTTGGTGGGTTCCGCCTGAAGTCAACCCGTGCTTCTGCCCCAGTTCCTGCTCCTGTCCAGGAGTCGTATTCCGGAACTCGTCAGGCTTATGGAGGTCCACGGAGTATTCAGGAGGCTGCTAAGAGGAGTCGTCGCAAGGCCAGGCTAGCAGCCCGAGACCCAGCAGCCATGGTACCGTGCTCCAGTACCATCCCACATAGCCATGGATCCGTGTTCCGGTTCCTTGCCCAGCAGCCATTGTTCCGGCTCCAGTGCCGGCCCCAGCAGCCATGTTTCCGGCTCCAAAACCGGCCCACACAGCCATGATCCAGGCTTCAGCTCCGGACCTTACAGCCATGTTTCCGGCTCCAGAACTGGATCTTACAACCGTGGTCCCTGCACCAGAGCTGGCCCATACAGCCATGGTTCCGGCCCCAGTTCCAGCCATGATTCTGGCTCAAGTACCGGGCCCAGCAGCCATGGTTCCGGCCCCAGTTCCAGCCATGGTTCCGGCTCAAGTACCGGCTCCAGCAGTCATGGTCCCGACTCCAGCACCTCGTCTCCTGCTGGCTCCCCAGCCGACGCCAGCTCCCCGAGTCTTGTCGGCGTACCGGCCGACTCCAGCACCTCGTCTCCTGCTGGCTCCCCAGACGACGCCAGCTCCCCATGTCCTGTCGGCGTACCGACCGACACAAGTCCCCTCTCAAGTCCCCTCTCAAGTCCCCTCTCAAGTTCCTACCCGAGTCCCCTCTCAAGTTCCTACCCGAGTTCCCTCTCGGGTCCCCTCTCGAGTCCCCTCTCCAGTCCCCTCTCGAGTTCCCTCTCCAGTCCCCTCTCGAGTTCCCTCTCCAGTCCCCTCTCGAGTCCCCTCTCGAGTCTCCTCTCAAGTCCCTTCTCGAGTCCCCTCTCAAGTCTCCTCTCCAATTCCCTCTCCAGTTCCCTCTCAGGTCCCCTCTCGAGTCCCTTCTCGAGTCCCCTCTCTAGTCACCTCTCAAGTTCCTACCCGAGTCCCCTCTCCAGTTCCCTCTCGAGTTCCCTCCTTTAGTCCCTCCTTTAGTCCCCTCTCTAGTCCCTCCTTTAGTCCCCTCTCTAGTCCCTCCTCTAGTTCCCCTCTCGAGTTCCCTTCTCTAGTTCCTCCTCTAGTTCCTCCTCTAGTCCCTCCTCTAGTCCCCTCTCGAGTCCCCTCTCTAGTTCCCCCTCTCGAGTCTCCTCTCGAGTCCCCTCTCGAGTTCCCCCTTGGTTCCCCTCTCGAGTCTCCTCTCGAGTCTCCTCTCGAGTCACGTCTCAAGTCCCTACCCAATGTCCTGGGTCCATTGGAGGTTCCGCTGGGGGTCCTGCCAACTCCATGGTCCTGTCCCGTTGGAGGCCCCGTCGACTACTCCTCTGCCGGGGGTCCTACCAATCGTATGTCTGTCCCGTGGAGATCCCGCCGTGTACTCTCCTGCCGGGGGCCCTGCCAACCCTTTGTCCTGTCCCGTTGGAGGTCCCCGCCGTCTACTCTCCTGCCGGGGTCCTGCCAACCCTTTGTCCTGTCTCGTTGAGGTCCCGCCGTCTACTCTCCTGCCGGGGGTCCTGCTAACCCCTTGTCCTGTTCCGTGGAGGCCCCACCATCCTCTGTCTCGCCGGGGGTCCTGCCAATCCCGTGTCCTGGTCCTCTTCCGTGGGGGAATCCTGCCGAGGCCTGTTCCACCAGCTCCGGTTCCTGTCCGGCCGACACCGGGTCCTGCCCGGCCTCCGGCGCTGGCCCGTCAGCGCCTTCCTGCCCGGCCTCCGGAGCTCTCTGGTCTTCGCCCTCGAGCCCGGCCCTCTGTGAGCCGTGGTCTTCGCCCTCGAGCCCGGCCCCCTGAGAGCCGCCGGTCTTCGCCCTCGATCCCGGCCCTCTGTGAGCCGTGGTCTTCGCCCGCGATCCCAGCGCCCTGACTCTTCCTGCCGCTGCCCTCGTCCTCGAGCCCGGCCCCCTGACTCTTCCTGCCGCTGCCTTCGCCCTCATGCTCGGCCGCCCGAGTCCCCCACCTTAGACTCTGCCTTGCCCCCGGGTCGTCCGCCCGAATCCCCCTTTTGAACGCTGCCTTGCCCCCGGGCCGTCCGCCCGAGATCCCTTCCTGGTCCTCTGCTGTGCCTCTGGGCGGTCAGCTCAGTCCCGTCCTCCTGACCCCCCTCCACCCACCCTGGTGGCCTAGTGATACGTTTATTCTGCATTTGGGTCCTACCTGCTTCACACACACCGTGACAAAAGTGAATATTTCCAAAAGCGAATGTTATCCTGTTAACGCTCTGGCATCACAATTGAACCAGTCCGATGTCCCCTTCAGATTGAGCCCCTCTGGCTTTAAGTATCTAGGAATCAATATAACAAGAACACTAAGTTCCCTTTTCGCTGCCAATATCTCCCCTTTAATGTCTAAAATCAAGTCAGACCTTCAAAGATGGAAGAGTTTACCTCTGTCGCTTATAGGTAAAATTAACACAGTTAAAATGAACATTCTTCCTAAGTACCTATTTATTTTCCAATGTCTCCCTCTATTCCAACCTAAACAATTTTTAAGACTCTTGATCAGGTATTTCTGGCTTTTTATGGAATGGAAAGGCACCAGAATAAGGTAAATCTATTCTTCAAAGATGTAGACTTAACGCTGGACTGTCTCTCCCGAAATTCCAATTATATTATTGGGCTTCACACATACACAACATTTCATTTTGGTCCAAATCAGTGCATCCTCCATGGTCTAGATTTGAGGCAGTCTTGTGGCTCATCCTCCGCTATGGCACTACTTACCTCTTCCATTCACACCAACCTCTCTGGACATACAAATAATCCTGTTGTGAGTTCTACTCTTAAAATCTGGTACCAATTTAGGAGGCATTTTAAGTTTACTTCTGCATCCACTTTAGCTCCTTATTGGGGAAACCATTTATTCCGACCTGCCTTATCTGACCCCACTTTCTCTGTATGGCATGAGAAGGGCCTGAGGACTTTTAGAGAGCTTTATAAGGATAATACCTTTCGTAGTTTTACTGATATATCAAGGGAATTTGAACTCCCAACATCTCACCTTTTTCGTTATTTCCAAATTAGACATTGCACCAAATCCCTGTTTCCATCCTTTCCCTCTCTACCCCCTAATCAAATATGGGATGAGTTTCTTTGTTCCGATCCCCTTCAAAAGTCACTTATTTCAAAAATATATAACAAACTCCTGACCGATGACAGCTCACACACCACTAAAATCAAGGCTGCCTGGGAGGCTGAGCTAGGTGTGAACTTGGGTGATCACTGGTGGGACACTGCTCTTAACAGGATTCATACGAGTTCATCCTGTGCTCGTCTCACTCTCATACAGTTCAAGGTGCTGTACAGGGTTCATTTCTCAAAGGCACGATTGTCACAAATATATCCCACTGTTATTGACATCTGTGACAAATGTCAAGCCTCTCCCTGCAACCTATCCCATATGTTCTTCTCCTGCCCATTAGTGTTTTCCTTTTGGCAGAAGTTTTTTGAGGATATCTCAAAAATACTCTCACTCACTGTGAAAGTCTGTCCCCATATTGCCATATTTGCAGATGCAACTCGGGGCAATTAGATATTCTGGCATTTACTTTGTTATTGGCAAGACGACTTCTTCTTCTTCACTGGAAATCCAAAAAAGCTCCTTCCAATGCTAAGTGGCGCAGCGAAGTCATGTATTTTCTAAAATTGGAGAAAATTAAGTATTCCTTAAGAGGCAGAACCTCTATGTTTTACACTAAGTGGCAACCCTTCTTAACCTTCTTCCAATCTCTCGCATTTTTGGCTACTGATTGATGGACACCCCCCCCCCCCCCCCCCCCCCCCCCCTTCTTATGTATTTATGTTAATTGTTTGTCTTTGTATTGTTTTAGTATTATCATTTTTGATTTTATTATTATTATTGCTAATATTATCTTGTTTAGTTCAGTCGGTACACTACTCCCTTATATTTGGCTATCTGGTCTGTTTGAGTTATGAAGGTGGCTTAAATACTGTATGCCTTCAAGAGAAAATTAACCATGGCTTGTCAATTGATGCACAATAGTAGAGACTAAATGGTTACTAGTAACTTTGAACTGTGGTCCCTGTCAATGTACCAAATGTCTTTTTTATGTGTCTTCAATAAAAATATATATTAAAAAAAAGTGTGAACTAACTTTAAGAGTTTAAGCTCTGTTTTAGTTTATCACTTTAGGTAATGAACTATAACAGCAAGGGGGCTCTGACTGTTCAATCTGAGGCTCGTCTGGACATGTTTTGGACTAAAGTAGTTTTAACCGGTGACATAAGGAAATTAACTTAAAGATCGGCCGGGGGGTTAAAAAAAAAACGGTTGATTATATCTTTGAAGTTTACACTGGAAGGAAATAACTGTCCCAATGTCGCGAGAGAAGGTAAAAACCCTGTCAAGAGTGTGGACCTTTTCTCAAAATGATACCATCCCACTCACTTGGACTGGGAAAACGCAAAGCAACTACGCACTCCTCTCAAGTCAAGATTGCATGACTGCCACATTCACTCATTACAGATACCAGAACCCTACAGGATCGCTTCAACTGAATTAGTACTGTAAGAGCCCTTTTGATGTAGTTTCATGTTTGGGTTTTGGGCTGTCACAATCGCTGTGTGTGCCATAGGGTGTCACTGTCCGGTTCCACAGGTATTTAAGGTTTGTTTTGTCACCTGATCGGGTGTGTCCGATCCCGGAATGGCAAATGTTTTTTGACCGCATTACCATCATCTGTAGTTCACAGTAAATGTATATTTGTACACACCATAAATATGGAGTCCAGGTCTGTGTGATGCTTCGGGGCGGACTGATCACTGGGAACTTCTGAGAACTCCTGCAGAACTCTGTGGAGAAAACATCAAGAACATTTAGAGACTCTAATCTGCACACAGCTGACTGAAGGTGTCCTGAGATGAAGACAGAATAACAGGATAACTGTGGCTCAGCGGGTGGAGGGGGGGGGGCTGACTAAGAAGAGGGTGTCCAATGTTGAAAGGTCAGACCACATCACAAATGAGAGTCTCTGAGGGAATACCTCACAACCAACAAGTCTGGTTCAGAGATGCTGAGGGACAGACTTGTTGACAACTCAACTCAAGAAGATACAGAGAAGGGGAGGATGAGCTCCTCAGACTAAATAACTGATAACTAGTAGTGGGACATGCATCTGCAGTAAGGCCTGCAGCTGTGATTTAGGACTTAGAGCAGGACTTCATCCTGACAACTTGTGCAACATCAGCCAGAGAGTCACTTCTGGGACAATGTCCTCAGACTGAGACCAGCTGGAGGAAGAAATACCTGGTGGCACCATGACAGACGTCCCAGCTAAGAGAGCAGACCGATCCAACAGAGTTTTTAATAACAAATAATGTGGATGATCCAGGACCCTAGTACTGCATAAAGGCAGAGTGGTGGTTACATCCTGCTTCCTAGCATCCATCTATTTCTTAGAAACCAGCCAGGAGCTTTGGAAAGATCTTTGTGTGCAGTCTTACAGACACAACAGGCTCTATTCCTGTCCATGTGTCTTCTCGTAGATATTATAGGCCTTGCACTGATTCATATCACCGCACTCTGCCGGCTCTAACCTATCCACCTCGCTCCTCTAACACCTGGTCCCTGGAGCCTGGGGAACTGCCAGTCTGACACTCATTTCGGGCTACGCCTCCCAACAACCCCTGGGTTTCCCTGCTCTCACCGAGACATGGGTCACACCTTCAACACCTCCACCCCTGCAGATCTGAACTCAGGCTATTGCTTCATCCAAACACCCAGACCAACTGGGAGGCACTTCTTATCTTCCCTAAATGGAGTTGTCACCTACTCCTTCTTACGATACAATAATTCACCCTATTCAGTTGATCATGGTTATTCTCTACCGCTCACCAAGTCCACTAGGGGGATTCCTGGAGGAATGATATGCCCTCCTTTCTAACATCCCTGAGACTGGTCCTCCACTGGTCCTCCAATGGTACTTCACTGGTCCTCCAATGGTCCTCCAATGGTACTTCACTGGTCCTCCACTGGTCCTCCAATGGTCCTCCAATGGTACTTCACTGGTCCTCCAATGGTCCTCCACTGGTCCTCCAATAGTACTTCACTGGTCCTCCAATGGTCCTCCACTGGTCCTCCAATGGTACTTCACTGGTCCTCCAATGGTCCTCCAATGGTACCTCACTGGTCCTCCAATGGTACTTCACTGGTCCTCCAATGGTCCTCCAATGGTACTTCACTGGTCCTCCAATGGTCCTCCAATGGTACTTCACTGGTCCTCCAATGGTCCTCCAATGGTACCTCACTGGTCCTCCAATGGTACTTCACTGGTCCTCCAATGGTACTTCTCTGGTCCTCCAATGGTACTTCACTGGTCCTCCAATGGTACTTCACTGGTCCTCCAATGGTACTTCTCTGGTCCTCCAATGGTACTTCACTGGTCCTCCAATGGTACTTCTCTGGTCCTCCAATGGTACTTCTCTGGTCCTCCAATGGTACTTCACTGGTCCTCCAATGGTACTTCTCTGGTCCTCCAATGGTACTTCACTGGTCCTCCAATGGTACTTCACTGGTCCTCCAATGATACTTCACTGGTCCTCCAATGGTACTTCTCTGGTCCTCCAATGGTACTTCACTGGTCCTCCAATGGTAATTCACTGGTCCTCCAATGGTACTTCTCTGGTCCTCCAATGGTACTTCTCTGGTCCTCCAATGGTACTTCACTGGTCCTCCAATGGTACTTCTCTGGTCCTCCAATGGTACTTCACTGGTCCTCCAATGGTACTTCTCTGGTCCTCCAATAGTACTTCACTGGTCCTCCAATAGTACTTCACTGGTCCTCCAATGGTACTTCACTGGTCCTCCAATGGTACTTCTCTGGTCCTCCAATGGTACTTCTCTGGTCCTCCAATGGTACTTCTCTGGTCCTCCAATGGTACTTCACTGGTCCTCCAATGGTACTTCACTGGTCCTCCAATGGTACTTCTCTGGTCTTCCAATGGTACTTCACTGGTCCTCCAATGGTACTTCTCGGTGACTTCAACACCCCGACAGAAAAGTCCTCAGACCTATTACTCCTGCTAAACTCCTTCTCTCTCTCTCTCAGTGTCTCTTTCTCCACCTACTCACACATCTGGCAGCCTCCTTGATCTAGTATTCACCATAAACTGCTCTGGCCTCTCTGTAACCCCGCTTCACGTCTCTGATCAGTACTTCATATCTCCTCTCTCCATTTAGTTTTCAATTCTTACCCTTCATCTGCAGGAAGTCCAGCTTTAAAGGTAACAGGATGATCCATAGCACCGGTCCGTCTTCATGGACACACAGCTGGGTCCAGGTCCAGGTCCAGGTTAGGGTCCAGGTCCCTGCCGTTGCATAAATAAAAAATTATTGTATGATTGTATTAATTTAAAATGCTTTCGCTGAATAAAATAAATAAATAATAATATGTTAAAAATGGGAAGAAATAAACTCATTTGTGTAAAAGTAATTATATTGATTTAAAACAATTATAACATTAATAAATATCCTTTATTTAAGAAATACTTCATTGATGTTAACATTGTTTTAATGACTAATTAATATTACTTTATAGATTTTTTTTAATGTATTCATGCTAAAAAAAAATGGAATAAATGTAAAGCTATTAATGATTTAATGATTGAAAAAATGATTTAGTTTATAAATGTAAAGACGATAATGTCCTGATAGAGTCTGAGTGCTTCAACTCAAAGGGCAATTCATCAAGTAACAGATCTGAGTACTTCTACTCAAGTATAACATCTGAGTACTTCTACTATTACTCAAGTACAAGATCTGAGTACTTCTACTATTACTCAAGTATAACATCCGAGTACTTCTACTTTTAATAAAGTATAACATCCGAGTATTTCTACTTTTACTAAAGTATAACATTCGACTACTTCTACTTTTACTAAAGTAACAGATCTGAGTACTTCTACTTTTACTCAAGTACCAGATCTGAGTACTTCTACTCTTATTCAAGTACAAGGTCTGAGTACTTCTACTTACACTAAAGTATAACATCCGAGTATTTCTACTTTTACTAAAGTATAACATTCGACTACTTCTACTTTTACTAAAGTACCAGATCTGAGTACTTCTACTTTTACTAAAGTACCAGATCTGAGTACTTCTACTTTTACTCAAGTACCAGATCTGAGTACTTCTACTATTACTCAAGTACAAGATCTGAGTACTTCTACTATTACTCAAGTATAACATCCGAGTACTTCTACTTTTACTAAAGTATAACATCCGAGTATTTCTACTTTTACTAAAGTATAACATTCGACTACTTCTACTTTTACTAAAGTAACAGATCTGAGTACTTCTACTTTTACTCAAGTACCAGATCTGAGTACTTCTACTCTTACTCACGTACAAGGTCTGAGTACTTCTACTTTTACTAAAGTATAACATCCGAGTATTTCTACTTTTACTAAAGTATAACATTCGACTACTTCTACTTTGACTAAAGTAACAGATCTGAGTACTTCTACTTTTACTAAAGTATAACATCCGAGTATTTCTACTTTTACTAAAGTATAACATTCGACTACTTATACTTTGACTAAAGTAACAGATCTGAGTACTTCTACTTTTACTCAAGTACCAGATCTGAGTACTTCTACTTTTACTAAAGTACAAGATCTGAGTACTTCTACTTTTATTAAAGTACCAGATCTGAGTACTTCTACTTTTACTAAAGTATAACATCCGAGTATTTCTACTTTTACTCAAGTACCAGATCTGAGTACTTCTACTTTTACTAAAGTATAACATCTGAGTACTTCTACTTTTACTAAAGTATAACATTCGACTACTTCTACTTTTACTAAAGTAACAGATCTGAGTACTTCTACTTTTACTCAAGTACCAGATCTGAGTACTTCTACTTTTACTAAAGTACAAGATCTGAGTACTTCTACTTTTATTAAAGTACCAGATCTGAGTATTTCTACTTTTACTCAAGTACCAGATCTGAGTACTTCTACTTTTAGTAAAGTATAACATCCGAGTACTTCTACTTTTACTAAAGTATAACATTCGACTACTTCTACTTTTACTAAAGTAACAGATCTGAGTATTTCTACTTTTACTAAAGTATAACATCTGAGTATTTCTACTTTTACTCAAGTACCAGATCTGAGTACTTCTACTTTTACTAAAGTATAACATCCGAGTACTTCTACTTTTACTAAAGTATAACATTCGACTACTTCTACTTTTACTAAAGTAACAGATCTGAGTACTTCTACTTTTACTCAAGTACCAGATCTGAGTACTTCTACTTTTACTAAAGTACCAGATCTGAGTACTTCTACTTTTACTAAAGTACCAGATCTGAGTACTTCTACTTTTACTCAAGTACCAGATCTGAGTACTTCTACCCCCTCTGGTCCTCACACTAACAGATTCCCTTCAGTTTGTTACATTCCATTACATTGCATTTAGCTGACGCTTTTATCCAAAGTGACTTACGTAAGTACATTCGACCAGTCTCATCTCCTACCTCAAGTATTTGTTTTGGTTAGCATAGTTAGCATACTGTTAGCATAGTTAGCAAGCTGTTAGCATAGTTAGATGTAGCAGCTGTTAGAGAGATCAGCTGAGATTCTCTCACTCTGAAAACTGTCTCTTACCAACCGGGAGGAAGAAAATAAACCAGGAGACGGAATACAATGTGACACCAGAGGACACCACACCCCAGAGAGAAGAGGAAGTGAGAAACTATTAGCTGTACATGACCGCCATCCTGTGGCTGTGTAGACGATATACCTTTAAAACTACTGCCCATAAATAAATACATTTAGAAATACATTAAAGTGTGTTCTGTTATATTCTAAACTTGTATTGGTACTTGTGGGTTATCTGCCCTTTTTAATAGCGGGTAGCTGGCTCCACCACATGAACTTTTCATTTCTGAAAATAGCAAACATTAATCCTAGGGGTTTGGGTTATTTAGAGAGTCTGAAAGTGCCCACAGATAGCCCACAAGTAGTCTTTTATTTATTTACATTACATGACTTGTTACTTGATATACGCTTTTATCCAAAGCGACCAGTGGCGTTTTCTCACAGAGGCCAAGGGAAGCCAGGCTTCCCCTGTTTTTTCGGATTGTAGTTATAATTTTAATAAATAAATAAAAACCCTTTGTTTTGTTTCAATAATTCTCCTTTGCTGTGTGTCGCTGCCGGCCCGTCTCTCCCCCATTCTCATTGAGTATTTTACAAAGAGTGAAACAGCGCCCCTCTAGATGTTATGGTGAAACAGTAGATTGCACTCACTGTTGCGAGAGGAGGCCAGCCAAGCGCCATTTAGACTGAGAGTTACGTCATCTCCGTTCACTCCAATGGACCACTTTTTTACAGCAATGGCGGATCGTGGAGCCTCTCAATCGTTCCACGGAAGTTAGCGCCAAGCAGGGGTGGACTGGCCATCTGGCATACCGGGCATCGTCCCGGTGGGCCGTTGACCCAATGTGGGCCGGTCCGCTATGTTTTTTTTTCTTTTCTTTTTTTTCTCTAAATTCCCTCCAATTGGGCCGGCCAATTGGCTACAGGGGGCTAGCAAGGTGTTGCAAGCATCAACACATATTATTGGTCTATTGTTTGTCATTGTCAATCAATCATGGGCTGACAGGCTCAGAGAGCCCTGACAGTGCTGTCAATCACAACACAAACCAGGGTGGGGCGGGACCTTATGGCATGGGCGGGAGTCGCGGGACGGGCTGCTGCTGAGCTGAAAATGGATAAGCGGAAGAAACGCCCGGGTGGCGCTGAAAAACTGCGACTTAAAAAGCTGAAGTCTCTGGAGGTGGAGGCTGCTAAATATTCTAAATTGACGGACCTATTTGGTGCCGGGGTCACCACCCCAGCAGGTGCTGCTGCGCCGGGAGACGAGCGAGTGGAGGCATACATGGTAAGTAACGTTAGCCTGGGGCTGGCGAGGCTACCTTTTTGAGACATGTCCAAAAAAAAAGTAGAAAACGTTTTTACATTGAATGTGATGTGACCTAATTAACTGCATAGTCCTACTTGTGACAACATATTAGCAGTGCTGGAATTGGGCCGGTACTCACCGGTACGCAGTACCGGCACTTCTGGTTCTGACCCATGGAGTACCGGCACTTCTTGCTCAGTACCGGCATGCTGGCGGTACTCCGGTACTCATGCACCGTGCCAGTACTCAACACTCTCCCGCCGTTCTTATTATACATCCATATATATATATATACAGCCGCCCGGTACTCAGTAGATGCGTCATGAGGTGCCGAACGGACATTCTCATCGCTCTAACCGCTGGAGTTTCACAGCGGCTGTCAGCTGTTTACTCCTGTCATTCAAACAGAACGTGCTGGAAAGGGGGCGGGGCTTATCTTCTCCATGTAAATACTGTGGTGGAAACGACTATGTCAAAATTAACCTATTTGACCGTGATTTAATAGTAATACACGTTTCAAAATAATAATAATAATAATAATAATGCCGAAGTAACAACATACTGAAAACTGTTAGTAAAACCATGTTTTAATGCTTTACAATGTACATACCTAGATGCACGTGTGTTGTGTTTATGCAGTGCAACTCCCACCCAGTGGGTGGCTATGTAGAGTGATAGAACAGAGCAGGCACGCCCCCGAGAGAAGGAAAGCAAGTCACGTCACAAATTAGCATTTCTAAAATGTTAGCGTGGATTAATAAAAGTGCAAAAAGACAGCGGTTGTCGCCGGAAGAAACTTCAAATACAGAGAATGCTGTGCCTGTGTTGAAAATTGTGTCTGATGGGGAGCTTTCTTTGGTTGATCCTCCTGCTCCAAGTTCTAGTGCATTAGCATTAGCACTAGCTCCGCCGCCTCCTCCAGAGCCTCTAACGTTTGCTGCTGCTGGCTCAACTGCCACCACCAACACCGGGCAAAGCGATGCACCTGACTGCTGGACAACGGACCAGGTGCAATATTTTTGCAAGACCAATGCATGGCTCCTTCTTAAAGATAAGAAGCTAGGATGTCGGATATGCAGAGATGTCAAATCTTTGGGAATACACACTGGACAAGGACTGAAACTGTCAACTGAATGGGGTGAGTGTGCAGTGTCTCATTTCGGTGTTGACAAGGGCAAACAACAAGCTAGCCTGAGAAAAAAAATCAAAGAACATAAAGAATCACAAGCCCATGTAAAAGCTGATGACATCCTTACATCTGCTTCACGTGAAACTATTCAACATCAAGTGCAGTCTATGCATAAATCTGAATTAGACACCACTATCAGAGTTTTTTCGAACGGCATATCAAATTGGCAAACATAGCCGGCCATTCACAGACATGCCAATTGATTTGAATGTACAGAAACTGAATGGGCTGAACGTGGGCAGGGTTTTGCACTCCAATAAAACCTGTGGCGAAATCATCGACCACATAGCTCATGAGCTGAAGAAAAAAATGGCAAAAGACATTACAGAAAACCAAAGAAAACTCTGTGTTTTGGTCGATGAATCTACCACTATTAGTGGTAAAACGGTGCTTGTTGTGTGTCTACGCTCAGCATTAGCTGATGCTGAGCCCGAAACGTTTTTTTGGGAGCTGATCGAGTTGGATGGAACAACGGCTGATGACATCACAAAGGCGTTAATGGAGTGTCTTGGAAGAGATTTTAACGAGGACTTTTTAGGTCAGTGTTTCGTTTCTTTTGCATGTGATGGGGCTTCAGTCATGCTAGGGAAGAGAACAGGCGTTGCTACCCAGTTGTGTAGTAAATTCCCAAGCCTGTTTGTGTGGCACTGCTCCAATCATCGTCTAGAGCTGGCAGTTGGGGATGTGGTCAAGGAGGTCTCAGGGCTCAATCATTTCCAGATCTTTTTTGACAAACTCTATTCCTTGTTCCATGCCTCCCCCAAAAATCAGAGGCAGTTAGCGCAGTGTGCGCAAGCAGTCGGACAGCGTCTCCTGGTGATAGGGCGTGTTTTGTCCATCCGCTGGGTGGCTTCAAGTGAAAGGAGCGTCAGAGCAGTCTGGGAAAACTACCGAGTGCTTCATGATCACTTCACAAATGCTGCAAACGACACGAGCAGGGATTCCAGAGACAGAGCAAAGTACAAGGGCCTGGATGATGTGCTCACATCTGCAACGTTTGTCAGCAATCTGGGACTGATGTACGATGCGCTCACAGAGCTCAGCGACCTCTCTCGGCAACTCCAAAAAAGAGAGATGACACTGCCTACAGCAGATAGGCTCTTAACTCGAGAAATACGAGTTTTTGAATCCATGGTCACTAGGGGTGTAACGGTTCACAAACATTTCGGTTCGGTACGTACCTCGGTTTTTTGGTCACGGTTCGGTTCGGTACGTTTTCGGTACAGCAGAATTTTTTTTCACAGAACAAAACATATATATATATATTTTTTTTATTATTATTAAACTGTGAATAATGTATTCACTCAAATAAATACAAAATATAATAAAATAAACATTAAGGTGCAGCATTTCGATGAACTGAAATAATCTGTATTTGAACTTTACTGTAGGCTACTAGTACTCACAAAACATAAACTATTAGTTTTTGGTTTTTAATTATTATTAAACTGTGAATATTCACTCAAATAAATACAAAATATAATAAAATAAACATTAAGGTGCAGCTTTTCGATGAACTGAAATAATCTGTATTTGAACTGTACTGTACTAGTACCTAAGCAGCCAGTTTGACATTATGACTTGCTTGTCATTGTATTTTCATGTTTTTTTTAAAGAAAAATTAACTTGTCCACATTGGTTGCCGAAAGGGCAGATCTGCTGGCACTAACAATGTCTCCTGCTGTGGAGAACACCCTCCTCGCTAGGGACAGAGGTAGCAGATACAGCCAGGTAGCGCTTTGCTAACATGGCAACATAAGGATATTTGGCGTTTGTAATAGCTTTGGCTCGGTCTGATCTTTTTGCGAGTGGTGGAGGCTTAAATGCTAGCGGGAGTTGGATTTGCACTTCAGTCTTTTTTCTTTTGGTACCGGTGATATTCACGTTCGGGTGATGCCTTTTCAAGAGTGTGCAAGTTTGATGTATTGCCAGCCGCGTAACCAATTTTAGTTGAACAATGCCGACAAACAGCTTTGGTTCGGTCCACCTGTCTTTGTCCTTCATCCTTGTACGTAACTGCGAAACCAAAATGTTCCCAAACCGGAGACTTCAATGATGCTGGAGGATTTTCGAGCTCAACTTTATCTGCGTTCGCCATTAATTTTCGACAGTTCCTCAAATTACTGACTACATTTGAACGCATCCCTCTGACCAGCTCTCATAGTATGCCTCTCATCCAATGAAATGACTTGCTCGCTCTATGACGCGTTGAACCCAATGTGACCAAATTACTCTGAATGCTGCGACGCAGCACCTGAGATTACTTCCAAAAAGTTGTTCACGTTCTCAATTTTTTACGTTTAACGTTATATTCGTTCGGTACACTTCGGTACACACCTGTACCGAACCGAAGGGCCCGTACCGAATAATTTCGGTACGGGTACGTGTACCGTTACACCCCTAATGGTCACCATGCCTGGCCCACACATGACTACAGTTCATACAGCTCTTACTGAGAAGTCCTTCAAGGGTGTTGCTCTGCGTGAGAATGGCAGGCTTGTACAGATTCATGCAGGTCAGTTTTTCCGCAGTATGGTAGAGAATCTGAGACACAGAATGACTTCCACAACCTCCTCTCATGTCAGCACAAGAGAAATCCCATTACATGGCCGGGAGGCCCGGGACAATCAGCTAATCCAGGACATGAAAGTTATCCATCCTGGAAGTTGGCCTGAAGAGGAGTTAGACGTACAGTATGGGGACGTAGAGGTGCTACGTTTGTGCGAAGTGCTGAAAGTGGACAGAAGAGAGACTGTTCAGGGCTTTCGCGAATACAAGGAAACCAGGGCATCCCGTACACCTGCTGCCATGGAGCCTCTACTGAAAGCAGTCCGAACCATCGCTGTCTCCACTAGTGAGTGTGAGCGGGCATTCAGCTGCATGAACGATATCCTTACTGCAAAAAGGAATGCTCTCTCTGTCAGCCGACTGTCCAGCCTGGTTTTCATTAAATGTAATGGACCATCACTAGGACAGTTCAATCCGGAACAGTATGTGAGGTCCTGGCTGGCAAAGGGAAGGAGAAGTGCTGATGAAAGAGCCTGTCCAGCTCCAGCCCCTGATACTGATGTCCCCAAGGCCTTCTGGAGCCTTTTCTAACAATGTGAAGTATATTGCAAAGCAGCTCACCCAGTGAGAAGACTTTTGGCATAATGTGCCGATTTGTACAGATCCTGGAGATAGAAGGACTTCAGACCAACCAGGGAGTTATCTGATCAGCTTGGTGTTCAATGTAACCCTTTACCATGGCTCAGACTTTGTTACTTGCAGTTACAGTTTCTCAATTTAGATTGTGCAAATTTTGCATTTGTTTTTACATGTTCTTTGTTCATGCTCTTCATCATTTTTCTGAGTTGGAAAGTTAGATTGCATCATAGTTTACTTTATACATATTTGTATTCTTCAGTGGTGAAGTATATTGCAAAGCAGCTCAGCCATGTGAGAAGACTTTTGGCACTTTTTCGTTTTTCGTTTTCTGAGTTGGAAAGTTAGATTGCATTCAAAATGTACAGAAATACTTAATTTTGTTAAAGCTTTTTATAAAAAATGCTTCTGACCAGAGCTTTGTTTCCTTGTCATTAATGTTGAACACCACCAGAGGGGCTCTCACCTGAAAGGTCTCTGCTTCATGTGTCTTCAGCAGAAGATCTAGACTTTGATTGCTATATTTTCAGTTAATATTGACCTTACTGAGCTTTAGCCATATCCGCTGCCTATCATAACAAATGTTAAGTACAGTGAACCTTTCTAAAATATACAGTAGTAAAGAGACAAACCCACCAGCATTATA